TTGTTCATGAAAATAAAACTGTATACTGTTTAGAATTTTACTCATTTTTAAATATGGAGTGGACGCTTAAAGAAGACCGTGTAGCAGTTATTGCGTTGCATCGGTGCGGTTACGCGCCAATTCAAATTTTTGACATACTGAAAAATTTGAATATAACCAAAAGATTCGTTTATCGTACCATAAAACGATACAATAAAGACTCTAGCGTAGATGACAGGTCAAGAAGTGGTCGCCCTCGGTCTGTTAGGACTCCAGTAGCAGTGATAAAAGCTGTGAAGGCGCGAATTCAAAGAAATCCCAAACGGAAGCAGAAACTGTTGGCCCTTAAGATGGGGTTAAGCAGAACCACGGTGAAAAGGGTGTTAAATGAAGACTTAGGGCTTCGGGCATATCGAAGAAAAACAGGACATCGTTTGAATGCTCGTCTAATGGATCTGAGGCTGAAGAGATGCCGCGCTTTGTTGAAGCGGTAAGCGGGAAAAAAATATCGGGAAATTCTTTTTTCGGATGAAAAAATTTTTACCGCAGAAGAGAGCTACAACAAACAAAATGATAAGGTGTACGCACACAGTAGTGAAGAAGCGAGCAACCGTATTCCGCGTGTCCAACGAGGTTATTTTCCATCCTCGCTCATGGTATGGTTGGGAGTTTCTTATTGGGGCTTAACAGAGGTACATTTTTGTGAGAAAGGTGTAAAAACGAATGCAGTTGTGTATCAAAATACAGTCCTGACGAACCATGTGGAACCTGTTTCTCATACCATGTTCAATAACAGGCTCTGGGTTTTCCAACAAGATTCGGCGCCAGCTCATAGAGCGAAGAGCACACAAGACTGACTGGTGGCGCGTGAAAGCGACTTCATCCGGCACGAAGACTGGCCCTCCTCCAGTACAGATTTGAATCCGTTAGATTACAAGATATGGCAACGCTTGGAGGAAAAGGCGTGCTCAAAGCCTCATCCCAATTTGGAGTCACTTAAGACATCCTTGAGTAAGGCAGCCGCCGATATTGACATGGACCTCGTTCGTGCTGCGATAGACGACTGGCCGCGCAGATTGAAGGCCTGTATTCAAAATCACGGAGGTCATTTTGAATAAAATTTAGTGTCATAAGAATCTATGTTTTGTTAAGTTCATTTTGGTATATAAATGGTTACATAATGAATAAATTTGTTTCAATTATTTTATATTAAACATGTGACAGAATTTATGACCTGACTAGGTATGTACTACGTACTAGAGAAGCCATTCTAAACAAAAAATGTGCACTACTCTGTCTTCGCCCATGCGCGGGAGATAGTAGAGTCGCGCATACGTAGATGATTTAAGCGCGTTGCGTCTGTGCGGTCAGTTTTTAGTTTAAACTTTAATATGATATCTTGTATTATTAGCGCCGCTTCGCGCCTTATATCGATGGCGTATGTAGACTGGAAATAAAAAAATAAACTGCGGTTGTCAACTCGCTTGCTAAGCGTGGCAATTATGGCAAACATCCCCACTATGAGGTAATCTATGGGGGAGGCTTATGTTTAGCAGTGGACTTTAAAGCTGTAACGGTAACGGTACCAGACTATAAACACGTGTTAAAATGTTATGGCTAGATATGTGTCAATCGTGAAAGATTCGTTCATTTGACCTGGGTCGCGTCAAAGTATTGATGATTGATATTACATTTTTATAGAACGAGATCGCATGGCCACCAGATGTAACTGATTTTCCAGGTATCAGGTAATCAAAGTACGTAAAAATTTTACTCACCTCACGTTTATTCTTCCAGCTGATTTTTACATATATGTTAGACTAGCTGTTCCCCGCGACTTCGCCCGCGTGTAATTTAGGGTTTTAATTGTATTGCTCAGAACCCTAATTCTTTTTCTCAAATATAAGTAGCCTAAGTTACTCCGTAGAACATCAGCTGTCTGCCAGTGAAAGTCCCGTCGAAATCGGTCCAGCCGTTTCGGAGATTAGCGGGAACAAACAGACAGACAGACCGACAGACAAAAAATTTAAAAATTGTGTTTTTGTTATAAGTATCGTATATACATTCATATGCATTGAGTAAAAAGCTGTTATTTTAACATTACAAACAGACACTTCAATTTTATTTATTTGTATAGATAATATCGTTAAAAATCAGTCGTCAATACTCCCAGACACTTTCCGTCGGCAGTATCCCTTTCCAGAAGCTTTAAAGCTCTCAAAAAATTACTCAATTTTACTTACATTTTGAAGCTCTATTTTTATATGTTAGTCAGAAACTATTAAAAAAAAAACTGAAGACACTTTTTATTGGAAACGATGCATTCCGTCTCAATCCTCAGGGGTGACAATGCATTTGCATTGTGATTCTTAATTGAGGATAAATGTCGATTTCAATGAGTCACAGCATCCATTTATCAACGGGTGGACTATGTACTCGTTTGTCTCTCTCATTTCAATCTATAAAAAAATTAAAAAAAGTATCATTCAATTTCAATTAATGTATTATCATTCTTTAAAAGCAATGTAATTCTTCCAAATTTAAAACGACATTCCCACAATTATTCCATCTGCAGCTGCAACGCACCGACTACCAGCTGTGTAGTATCCTATAATTTCGGCTACTCAACTTTCATATCACAACAATAACTTAACAGATTTCACTCTATATTTCTCTGAAGATTTCGCAATATTCGAATGTAATTCATAGACACTGTCATTATTTTTGAGTCCAAATATCTTAACATTTGTCTTAATTTTTGGGTAACGAGCAATAAAATAATTAGGTGTTAACTACATAGGATCGAAAATTGGACTTCTGAGATGATTTCTAAGTTTATATCACTTTAAAGTGAGCAGGAAGTTTTATGGTGGACCGACAGTGTGATTTCGGTCGAGATCGAATTGCGAGAGATACAGCTCACAACCGCCAATTAGTTGCACTAGCGTTTGATAAAGAATATTGTAGGAACCGACTGTAATACTGGCCTACATATCTGTATAAAGAACGTTATTTCACTTGTTATTTGACTGGCTTAATGGCTTGGCGTAGTGGAATGGTCCGTCAAATGGTTATTAATCTCATCTTCGAGATTCGGCCCATACAACCAATACACGCGTTACTTGCACAGGGTTTTTTCCCTGCGTGCACTTTCGAGACTCTCTACCAATTATTTTATTTACTTCTCGTCCCTTATTGCTAATCTCCTTATTTTGGTCACTTAAGAATACGCCATTCAAAATTAAAGTCAAAACGTTTGTATTCAATTTCAGCTTAAAGTTCCTATAAACGTCAAAATCTAAACCGGTTCACAAAAAAAAAACCTTTTGAGAAAACAATAAAAAATGATTTTAGTATTCATTAAATGAATAACCCACGATACCACGAGTAGATTGGCTAATGCGTGCTAAGTCGTGCTGGTAATACCATTCTCGGATATCTGATTCTGTTAATCTGAATCTGGTTTCGGGATTTTTGATTAGATTTTTCGTCATCATTCTATTGCTATGTATGTCAAACATCAGGATGTACAGTTGACTTCTTTTTCCTATTTTTTGAAATGGTGAGTTCAGACTTACGCCACCTTGCACTAATTCATGATCACGAACCAAAATTACTTTGTTAAGATCAGTATACGCAGACAAACAAGTTAGTATGTACTATCTATTACAATCCACCAGCGTCAAAACTCTAATAAATAAACATATTACCAAAGAAAAAAGTGACACGTGCTTTGCCTCGTAATGCGGTATTCGAACTAAGCAATTTTATATACCTTTTACGTTTTTGCGTACGGATCCAAGCAATTTAAATTTAAATGGGATGCTACTTGCGTAGACACACTGGCGGCCTCTAATCTCAGGGGTACATCGTTTAGACCCGGGGCGGCATCAGGGGCAGTTGAACTGAGTAAGTGGCGCAAATATGAGTCTCTGAGAGATGACTGCATATTTGTGCCATTTGCTGTAGAGACTGTCGGTCCGTGGGGTCCACGTGCGGTGAAGTTCCTAAAGGAACTCCATCCGCGGTTGCTGCTCGTGATAAGAGGGCTGGTTCTTTTCTCGCTCAAAGGCTAAGTACCTATAGCCGTTCAGAGGGGAAACGCAGCCAGCGTTCTTGACACGATACCGCGGGGAGTAGGACTATATGATAATTAAGTTTCTAGTTTTTTTTTTTTATTATTATAGTATTTAAATTTCAAATCTAAAATGTTTTTCTATGTAAACTCTCGCTCACAACAAAACTACAAGCGTGATTATAATCGACCAGTGCACTTCAAGGCTGGCATCATACGTTCTATTCACTTCTTAATTACTTTATAAATTATACAAACCAAATACTAACGTCGAACCGTTGCAATATTCCTCAATATTTAAACAGAAACAATTTCACACCTCTATCGTCATTACAACATCCGGTTACGATACTGTAATTAAATATTAGTAATATCCATTGAGTTATATGTACTACGTACTAGAGAAGCCATTCCGAACATTGACTATGTTCAACTGAACTGTAGTGCAATCCATACAAACAAAATATTGCGTAAATTGAAGATTTGTGCATTCCGTAAAATAATAATTATTACATTTTATTTAGAAATATGTTTGTTTAGATTAAATTAAGATATTTTATATTGAATTCTTATATTTATTTTATATTAATATCTTATTTTATATCAAATTAAAATCTTCGGGCATGCGCGACTACTACTCCCGCGCAAGCGCGAAGACATAGAGTAGGACACAATTTTTGTTTGGAATGGCTTCTCTAGTACGTAGTACATATAACTCAATAGTAATATCCAACATCTGAAATAGGCTCAGACTTTATCGGGCTAGTTTTATCGAATATATGGCTTAACTATAAATCTAATCTAAAGACAACTTATTTAAAATTATAAAAATTATATTACTATGGGCGAAAGTACTTAACTTTTAGGTCCTTGATGCCTGAAATAAAGATATATATGTAAGTATAAGTATTGTATTAAAATTAATCCAATTATTATATCATTCTAGGTGGCAAAGAATGGCACACTACACGCAGTTCAAAATGGAGGCACAGATGGTCAAACATGCGGTGGACACTGCGGCGCGGAGCAGTGCGCTCTTTGCCGCGGTGATGCTGATACGGACAACAAGCAAAACATTGTTAGTATTTAAATAATTGACAAGAATAAGATTTGCCATTTGGTCTGAAGAATGTGCCGCGATCGTGTTTAACTATCTAGATGACTAGACAATATTTTAAATGACTTAAAGTGCTTAATAGGTTAGGTGGAATAATTTGACAGCGTCTAGCTTTCGTCCGATTACAATCTGGGTGTCGTAAGGGCAAGAGTTGTGACGGGCTCACACTTTTTATGAAAAAATGTAGTGATAGTTTGGAAAATTAATTAGTCACTAACTTTATGCTAAACTTAACTTTTAATTATGTTGCAAAAATTATTATCTATCTTTTGTTCGTTAAACTTATTTTTGTTATTTTTGTTACAACTACCATTAAAATAGGCAAATTATAAACACTGTTTTAGAAAGATGTGTTCTCCTATAATTGGTAGTACATAGTAATTTGTAGATGTAAGGCATGTATTAGAAGTAATTTAATATGTACAACTGTTGGAGATCCATACAAATAAATAAATAAATAAGAGTAGGTTACTTACTTGCCTTGAATAGGCGATGTATTATATAGGTTATCTAGGACTTCATCATTATTTACGAGTAAGTGGGTTTGTAGTGAAGCACTGGCTTAAATTAATTTAAAAAAAAATTGCGATCCTCGATCCGTCTTCAAATCGTGAAAATTTCACCAACTTCTCTAATTTTTGAGATATCTATGTCCATTAGTGGATTGTGCTAAATAATGATAATATATTCTCATATCATGAAGTAGTAATACTTTAAAATCTAATGATTATAAAACAGGGGTTTCCAAAGTGACACGAGACAGCACCCCTGTTACAAAAAAATACTTCGCAAACTGCCTTATTTTACTTACCTTTGAGTACTAGAGGTTTTTTATGAGAGTCACAAGACGGGACGACCAGATGGTCCAACTGATGTTAAGTACTATGCTTTGCGTAAAAAAAAACAGAAATACAACCTAAATCTTCCCCTACCTGGGTAATTAATTGTATTTCCACCGATACCCACACATCTTTCAAAAACCGGAACAAAGCAATGCTCCACTGCTTGATGAACGGACTCGGTGTGAGTAAATCAATCATAAAGTGAGAAGTCTAATAGATACTTTTTGTACCAGAAGTAATCTGCGTTCACCCAGAGCGATGAAACCAATTTTAAGTTTTATATTTGTCCTTATAAGAAAATACAGATTTTGAAGCTCACACTTTATATCTTCTTATGTTCAAAATGTGACGGCTCCGTGGCGCAGTGGCTTAGCAATGAGTTGCTGCGCTGGGGGGCGCGGGTTCGAATCCCGCACGGAACAAGTATTTGTATGGCCTACAAATAATTGTTCCGGGTCTGGATGTTTGTCATTGTGTAATTTGTGTTTGTAAACTGCCTCCACGATACAGGAGAAAATCCTAGTGTGGGGGTAACGTTTTTTTTTTAAAAAAAAGTTGCATTATTAATTGAGCTGCCAGTATTACCATTTGGTCGAAAAATAGACAATGTGTTTGGCTAGTGTTTTGAATAAGATGTTAATTTTTAATGGTTGGGATAAATCACAGATAAGTCTCATTAGTAGCAGTATTATCGATAGTCAATATAATTAATAGAATCAGGCGTTACTTTGCGGAAATCCATTATATTAAAGTTGGTAAAACTTACCTCTCGTACATCCGCTCGATAAAATAAAATGATGTGTCTTACCTAGTATGAAGAGCACCTCCCGCCCTCCCTCAATTGCGTGCACTATCCCCGTCACCACTAATCTCAGCGCCACTACTCTCACCACCACTACACTAGAAACAAATTGACACTTAGAGGTCAGCCACCGCAGAGTCTACATCACCTGAAGATGCCTCGTGTAGAGGTGAAACACGTGTCGTATTGTTGTCGGTGGTGTGTCTTTCCTAGTGTAGTGTTGTTGGGATTAGTGGTGACGGGGATAGTGCACGCAGTTGAGGGAGGGTGCGAGGTGCTCTTCAAACTAGGTAAGACACATCATTTTATTTTATCGAGCGGATGTACGCGAGGTAACTTTTTAAAATCTTTAATATCATGGATTTCCGCAAAGTATCGCCTGATTCTATTAATTATGGACCGATTTCGATGAGACTCACTAGCAGATAGCTGATGTTATAAGGAGTAACTTAGGCTACTTATATTTTAGAAAATAATTAGGGTTCCGCGCAACATAACTAAAATCCTAAGTTACACGCGGGCGAAGTCGCGGGGAACAGCTAGTAGAAAATAATGTTATTGTTTACTTAGTTTTCATACGACTTTTAGCTCAATAACGTGTTGCTGTCATAGATAGCTATTAGTAATTTGTTATGAATTATTGACTGTTAGATAAACATAATAAATATCATGCTCTAATTTGTTTTACTGTACGTTTAACAATATATCAAAAATCCTAAATTCCCTAACCCCGTCAAATTCTCAGGAAGAAGCGGATGAAACTGCACCTCCAGAAGAACACGTTCCCGGTTTAAATCTAGAGTTTTTACGGCAACTCATCTCCCTAGCGAAGATTATGGTGCCGAGTATACGAAGCCAAGAGGTTGCGCTGTTGACAGCGCATACGCTCTGCCTCTTCTCCCGAACCTTCCTCTCAATATATGTTGCCTCTTTGGAAGGATCAATTGGTAAGTAATCTTAAAAACACGTAATGATTATAGAAACTTTTATATCATTGTATAAAAGGGCTAATAATTTTCTGCTCACCAGATGTCGCTAGTTGACACTGAAGTAAAGTTTTTTTCTTACACAATGTAATTTAATTGAGAAGTTGTTTTTAATAAAAGTTTATCACTTTCTAGACTATTGTATTAATACACAAAACAATGCGTTTGCTGTTTGCTCTTTAAGTATTTGCACATTTTAAACTTTTTTTTTATTTTTCTACTTTTATGAATATCTGTGATTTAGTTTATTTATTTTTAATGTTATTAATTTAGAAACAATAGCTTTTACATTTTCCGACCAACTTAACTTCCCCGCTATGAAATCTGTCTAATATTATACCTCACTTTCTAGTGGCGCCGCCGTGGTGTCACCAAAAGTCGTGGATGCCCTCTATAAGAGAGACTAACAAGCACATAGTCAGCCTACTACAAAACATAATAAAATGCTATCACTATAGTAAATAGTTAATTTGTTCATTACAGACTTAAAAATCCAATGCTGTGAACATTGACTTCATAAATGCTTAATGGGGGGAATATTTTCTATAGTTACTACATTTGGCAGGCGAGTTTAAAGTTACAGCCTTTATACGTCCCACTGCTGGGCACATGCCTCCTTTATTTTCAGAGAGGGTTTTAGGACAAGGAAATGTCCGCCGCGCTGCCCCAATGCATGTTGGCGAACTTCATTGTCTTCGAAATATATTTTTTCTTATTTCTCAAACATGCAGGTTTCCTCACGATGTTTTCCTTCACCGCCTAGCACATGGTAAATCAGCACTTAAAATTGCAATTAACAATTTCATTGGTGCCGGCGGGGATTGAACCAGGGTAGCTCGCGTGCTGTGAAATTTACAGCGAGCGCTAACCATCTGAGCTACCACAGCTTCGTGGCAGGCGAGTTTGCAACCGCCTGTTTTCATTATTTCGTGCTATTATCGAGATTTAGTTTCCCTCTTTCACCTTTTATGAAACCGACGAGATAATATACAGTGGTCCATCTTAACCCGCCACTATAAGGTGAAATATAACGGTAACCTTCACGTGGTAGAGCCAAGCTGCAACTATATTATGGTTGTAGCATGAATGGGTCGGATCAACCGGGGTTTAATATACCACAGGACCACGCATTCACAGAATACCACCTTAATCCTGCTGTGTTTTACGCGGTGAATTTAAGGAACCGGAGACACTTTTTACTGGAAACGACGTATTCCATTTTAGTCCTCGGGTATGACAACGCATCTGCATTTTGATTCTTAATCGAGGAAAGATTTAGATGTCTATGGATCACAGCATCCACTTATGCCATCCATACTATGTGTGCTCGTTTGTCACCTTATTTTATAAAAAAAAAGCATCGAGGATAGATGTAGATGTCTATGGGCCACAGCATTCATTTACCATCAGGTGGACGGTGTGGTTGTTTGTCGTCCTTATTCAATATAAAAACTCTAAAGTAATTAACAATTTAAATAAAAAAGCCGACTCACGAATATACTTTTTCGTTCACAGTAAAACACATAGTCCAGAAGGACCTTCGCCGCTTCACCTCTCTCCTCGTCCAATGGTTCGGTATCGCGATACCAGCTACCTTCATTAACTCTATGATCCGGTACTTGGAAAGCCGCTTGGCGCTCGCCTTCCGTACCAGATTGGTGAACCACGCGTACGAATTGTATTTCAAAAATCAAACCTACTACAGAGTGGCCAATCTAGATGCTAGAATAGAAAACGCCGATCACAGGTTAGTAAACTTTTTAAACTGACATTAAATAATTAAAAATTTTGTACAACCGATTTCAATATAAATTATTAAGAATAACTCAAAATTAGGTCAGACCTTGATCAAATTCATATGGAACCACACGAGAAGCACTAGCTTTCACATAAAAAAAGAATCATCGAAATCGGTTCACCCAGTAAAAAGTTATGAAGTAACACTCATAAAAAACACAGTCGAATTGAGTACCGTCTCCTTTTTGGAAGTCGGCAGAAAAGAAGGAGGAACGATATCTTCGTTATTAAGCGAAAAGTCCTTTAGAATCGTTGTAATTTGATACTCGATGAAACGAGAAAGCGACACTAAAAAGCGACAAACACATACAGCTATAGGATTTAGCATGCGAGAGAATGAGATAGAATACAGTATACAGTGTTTGTTATAAATTTATTTAAAATTTAATTTCATAAACAATTATCTTACTCTTGATACTTATTCTCTCTGCATTCGTCTCATTCTCTCGAAATTTAGTTTTCTAAAGGTTGCACATCTACCGCGTTTGAAGTCATGTTTTTTTTTAAACAATAATCGTACAATGTACTTCAGGATATAGTCTGCCAAACTGCTAAACAGTTTTCAACAGAAACTGCTTTTCGTTTTCGTTATTTATCATTATTGTATATTTTTTTAATTAGTACTGCTTTTCTCCAAAGATATACAAACACTGATATTGCTTTTAGTTATTCATGCTATATTCCTCTCACCTTAAATAAAAGGGCTACGAACGGCGGTATAAAAAATGTTGAGGATGAGCAGGGAAACTCCTTGATTCGATTTTGGTATCGTTTATTCTGCTGTCCATAGACGAATACAAGTAAAATCTAGAACACTGTTTTTTCCATACATACAATAATAGATGCCCTCTAGTGGCAACAAGTTAAACTAGGTACTTACATTACAGTTGTCAGTAAAGCGCCATCTGTTCGAAACGAGTGGGACCACAAGAAAGAGCCACTTGGTTCGTACAGATGTGTAATAAGGAAATATGTTGTTAGTAGTTGGTTTCAGCCTCCAACAGATGGAACCACCAACTACTAACAGGCGGACTGTACCGTCGTAGTGATTAGATAGAGAAATGATAGAGATGTTATTATGGTTAATAAACCAAAATATAATGGTGTACATATACACATACAATTTAATGTAGATTCCAAAATATATTTTTAACCGTTTCTAGTAATTACTCAGCGACGAATTGTGAACCGATTTTGATCTTTTTTTTTCAACCGACTTCAAAAAGGAGGAGGTTCTCAATTCTTCGGAATCTTTTTTTATGTATGTTCACCATTTACTGGAAGATGTCTGAATCGATTTGGAAAAATACTTTTTTTTGTTTCAATGGGTTTACTTCCCAGGTGGTCCCATTTAAATTATATCGGTTGAGCGGTTTTTGAGTTATCCTTAATAATTTATATTGAAGTCGGTTGTATATATTTTTTTGATTTTACTATTTTTTATTGAATAGCTTGTAATTCAGGGATGGTCAAAAAGTCAAAGCCGACTTCAGTGAACTGAAAAGAATAAAATAATTTCACATCCTGAATTGAAATGAAGCTGTTGGGACTTTATTATTTTTGATACACCGACTTTATATTCAGTTTCCTTGAGGTCCACTTTTACTTTTTATAATACAATTTTTTTTTCTATTGTAACGGTGACAAAAGAGCTTACAATCCATTTGGTGGTAAGGGTATGTTGTGGTTCATAGACACCAACATCTATCTTCAATTAAGAATCAAAGCGCAGATGCATCGTTACCGCTGACGACTATCTCCGGTTCTCGTTCTCGTTCTCGTAGATAAATTTAAAGAAATTAATATATTAACTTTGGCCTCTCAGTATATTTACGAAAATTTAATGTATGTTCACAAAAACAAAGATAGTTTTAGTAAAAGAAGTGATATACATTCTGTAAACACTAGGAACAAACACAAGCTAGTAATACCAGTTTCTCGACTCCACAGAGTCAATAATTCATTCTTGGGGCAATGTATACGCTATTACAACAAGGTCCCGGTAAGTGTACAGGTTCTCTCTATTACCAAGTTTAAATGTTTTATTAAGCTGAAACTGTATAAAAAGGGTTATTATAGTATAAAAGAATACATGGTTGATAATAACCCCTGGGAATGAGGTGATCGCTTCCAAGCAGTTTCTAAAATAAATTTTGTAAATAGTTCGTAATCATTTATATTGTAAAATTTATTTTAAAAAAAGTCCCGCTGGGTTTCTTGCTGGTTCTTCCCAGGACAGAGGGTTTTTTCGAACCAGTGGTAAAGTAAAGAATGACTTTCAATAAGAATTACACATGTAATGTATATTGAATAAAAAAAAAATATTCTAAAAAATATTCTAAAAATATAAATATTCGTCACTCACCATACGAATCACGGCAGCGTTAAGCTACTATTTTACGCTGGTATTCTGTGAAGGCGTGGTCCTTGCCTGGTGGAGTCGACTTATACGTGCTACAACCATAACGATACGATTATACGGCGATTTTTTGTTATAGTAGAGGGGGCAAACGAGCATGCGGCTCACGGCTGATGGTAAGTGACTACCGCCGCCCATGAACAACTGCAACACCAGGGGAACCAGGGGAATTGCAGATGCGTTGCCGGCCTTTTAAAAAGGAGTAGGCTCTTTTCTTAAAGGTCCCTAAGTCGTATCGGTCCGGAAAAATCGCGGGTGGTAATCGATTCCACAAGGAAGTTGTGCGAGGAAGAAAACATCTTCTAAATCGGACAGTGGTGGACCGCCAATCATCCAGACGGTGTGGATGGTATCGGGAGTTCTGCCACGATGTGCGTTCGTGAAATTTGGCGGCTGGGATTAATTCGAACAATTCTATTTTTTTATAGAATAATAGTGACAAACGGGGACACACCCCACCTGGTAGTTATTGGATTTTATGGCCTATAGACACTCATGTCTATCATCGGTTGATAATGAAAATATAGAAGTCTCGATGTCTAAGATGGAATGCCTCGTTTCCAATAAAGCGTCTCCGATTCTCTACACTCACCATACGAATCACAGCAGCATTAAGCTGCTATTTCACGCTGATATTCTTTGAGAGCATGGTCGTCCCCGGTCGAGCCGAGCTTGGCTGTACCACGTTACGAGATCACGTAAAGAGTTTAGTTTAACTATGTAATTTTTCCCCCAGATTAACAGAGGACGTGTCAGTATTCACGCAGTCTGTGGCCCACCTATACAGTTCGCTCACGAAGCCGTGCTTCGACCTCCTTCTCATCGTGCTCACTTTGGCCAGTTACTCCAACAAAATGAAGGGCAATATCTTCCTAGGTGAGAGTTATTAATGATTATTATTGTTTTTCCTCATGCTAAATGTGGAGATGGAGAAAGGATGAAGGGGATGGAAGCCCAGTCATGGACTTTCACGGGCTGATAAATAAGAGAAGAAGGATGTTTATACGTCTATAAACCTATATCATTACAGTCCATCAAAATACCACTACTGAACATAGGCCTCTCCCATAGATTGCCATGTTGGGATCCTTAAAAGCGATGGTCGATGAATTCGAAACCTGCATTTGAGTATTTAATCAATATCTATATGGTTAAGAATACTTACCACTCCATATCGTTCCGTGGGTGTCGTGAGACGTGACAGAGGGAAATTGAAACAGATAGACAGCAGCATCTCCCTGCTAACAACTGAAATTAATAAAATATCAATAATAAATATCGTGGTTGCCAACCCGCATGCCAAGTGTTCAAGGGTTACTTTTTGGTTCTTCCTAGGGTAGAGATATGTTCGGAATCAGTGGTAAATGTAAAAAAAAAAATACTTTTAATAAATTTCGTATAATAATATATATTACTTACTTATTTACTTATCTTCACGCACAATCCCTGACGGGGTAGCCAAAGAGAACAGATCGCCAAGTGTCACGATCCTTACATACCTCTTTCGCTTCTTTCAGATTCATTATCTTCTTCATACATGCACGTCTATGTATCCGAGTACTCTTGACCCTCCCCTCTTCGAGCAATTTGCTCACATGGTCTTCGAAAGTTAGTCTCGGTCTACCTCGACATCTTTTAATATTTACTTTCGCGCTATATATAATAATATATATTGAATAAATAAATATTATATTCTAAGCAAAAACTTCTAAGTGTACTTCTAGACTTGTAATTCAGAACAAAATAGTGTCACAGCTGTGGATCTCGCAGCCGCAGGCGGATAGCTGGCACGCTAAACATACCGCGCAGTTGTATTTTCGTTTATGGCAGTTACTGTTTTAAGTCAAATACGAAATATAGTTAGGTACTAATCTGAAATAAACTTCAAATCATAATGACAGTGTTTTTGTTATATAGTCTATATTTAAATTACAAAGACTAAGTTTAAACATATAAATAATGATTTACCGTTATTGCAGTTTTTGAAAATACGAGTAAATAAGACTTCTAATTTTATTTAAAATTATCCCAAATTGAATGTGATTTATGGGTAATAACTACGTGTAAATTAAATCGCAAACACAGGATGCGCTATCCGTTTAATGCTATAAGTTTTTGCCTACTGTTTACTTTGTTAGTGACACGATCACTACTAATGTTTAAGTTAATAACTAAACGACGCGAAATATAATTCCAATTTTCCCTTCACATTTTTAACGGACTTAGGAAACATAAGGAATAAACGGACATAAGAAATAAACTTAAAAAAGAAATAAATTTAAAAAAGAAATATTTTTGCTTATCAACGACGTAACCGATAACTGTCATTATTGTGGCTTATTTAGAAAACTGTAATAAACTATTTACAACTAAATTACGCAAGTAGTCCCAATAACTAATATTGGTACCTCAACATAGAATCCGTTTCTCTCCATGTATAGACGAGAACGTTTTATTAAATTATTTTTACACTTATTACCTGTGCTTGAGTACTTTTAACTTCCGTGAATGCAGCAATAATTTTGCTGCAGCGGTATTCAGAACTTTGGGCCTCTTTATTTCACCCCACAGATAAAATTCTAACGGTGAAAGTTATTATATATTCACAGAAGACCTCTACATTCACTACTAACTGTTCCCCGCGACTTCGCCCGCGTGTAATTTAGGGTTTTAATTATGTGGCCTAACCCTAATTCTTTTTCTGAAATATAAGTAGCCTAAGTTACTCCTTATAACATCAGCTGTCTACCAGTGAAAGTCCCGTCGAAATCGGTCCAACCGTTTCGGAGATTAGCCGGAACAAACAGACAGACAGAAATTTTAAAAATTGTGTTTTTGTTATAAGTACCGTATTTACTTTCCACATGCATTTAGTAAAAAGCTGTTATTTTGATATTACAAACAGACACTTCAATTTTATTTATTTGTATAGATTTAAATTATCGCTCAATGCACATGAATAGTTTGATTAGCTGTCAATAATTGTTCTTGGATTGGTAGGTACACATACATTAATTTCTTGCCGCGGTAAAAACTCACTTTTGTATAATCCTTTCGCACCACGTAAACTTTTATTGCTTAAAATGTAACACTTCACTATTTCATAGTTTCCAAGTATTCGCGGCTTGAATATTTTCGTTCCGTCGTTGGTAAAGAAGCGACAGTGAAGGAAGCGGTAATGAGGTTACGGTTAACCCTGTCAGCTGATGGTAATTAGTTAAAATAATGCATCACGCATTCTGAATTTCTTTTCTTTATTTTTTTACTTCATGAGGTATTTTAACATAAATAAGTGGCTAGAGCCTCCCTTTAAGCACAGAGGGCCTGTAGTAGGAGGCTCCGCTCTTCCACAACTTCACAAACAAAATCTTATGAAATACTTTTAGATAACTAATATAAAAACTTGCATGCATGTGTTTGAATGTGTGTGTGCGCGCGTGTGTGTGTGTGTGTGTGTGTGTGTATGTGTGTGCGTGCGTTTGTGTGTGTGTGTGTGCGCGCGCGTGCCTGTGTGTGTGTGTGTGTGTGTGTGTGTGTGTGTGTGTGTGTGTGTGTGTGTGTGTGTGTGTGTGTGTGTGTGTGTGTGTGTGTGTCAATTTCGTCATAACTAAGTGGTTGTATATACTTTACAAAATGGGTCATTGAGTAAATTTCTACATGTTTATTAATTTTGTTGTATAATTCTGCTGCGCGTTTACTATACTGAACTGTAGCAAAAAAAGTGTGAGTATTTGGAACTTGTGCTACTAATTCTTTTATTTATCAATATTTAAATTTGCCTGTATTACTTATTCTAAACGTACTCTGCAAATTCGAACATACATTACAAAATAACGCTGTATATTTTGCCACCCTGCCAGCGCCTCCGCCCCCCCTCCCCCCTTAAAAATTCGCGAGCGTGATTGCTCTGGTGCTTTGTTATCTTTGTCTGTGCGATGTCAGTTTCGTCAAGGTCAAGGTCAAGGTAAGGAGTGTTAAAGGCTGTATATGTATGTGTGGCAGGGCCGGGGATCGCGACAGTGGTGGTGTGCCTGACGGGGCAGCTGCTGCGGCTGCTGAGCCCGCGCTTCGGCGCGCTGGCGGGCGAGGAGGCGCGCATGCGCGCCAACCTGCGCCACGCGCACAGCCGCCTCATCACGCACGCCGAGGAGGTCGCCTTCTACGGCGGACACCAGGTGAGGCTGCCGCAACAGTCAACTAATATGTACTATTTACTAAACTGTTCAATGTTAAATACTCGCTGCCCGCGGTACAATAAAATGGGAAAAACAGGACGCCGCCTATTTTGATCTCTGTCACACTTACGGGTTTTATGGCAGGCCTGCTGTAAGGCCCGTAAATGCGACAGAGAGCGCGACACATTTTATTGCAACGCGGGCAGCAAGTGTTTAATATTAGTATAGAACACGCACCGCGAACAAAATCTGTACTGCGAAAATGATTATTCATGTTTTTATTTTGAATTGAAACTTCTTTATCGATTTAGTGGAGAAAGAATGGTATTGAAAAAAAAAAACAAAAAATGACGTTGTCTTATTAATTTTCATTGGCGAAGCTACATGAGTATACTATTATTTAAGCCGCTTATCTCAAATATAAAATAAAAGAAAAATATGAGATATGTCGTAAAGAAGTTACACTTCGTACATATGTACACAATTACACGCACAACATTTATTTACTTATAATACAACCCTTTTACATAAATTCATTAATTCCCTGGCCCTTGAGCTAGCATAACTATGTTTCTGGGAACCAGTTCCTCCTCAAAGGTCAATAACACTGAATTTTCTCGACTATATGTTTTTATAATTTATACTTGCGATTGTTGTCACTTGGTGAAACTCCAGCTTTATTATTGTGATTCAGATAAACAATTGTACTTCTTTTACAATATTTATTTTAAACTAGCCATCCGCCCTCGCTTCGCACGGTTCGGTTGATTTCTCAATATAGACAACAGCTCCACTTACCGGGTTCAATTATGAATCTAAACCATCCAGGGACGAGCGAGTCCCCGGATCGTTTAGCAAACACACCAAAAATTTCATCATAGTCGGTACATTGTTAGGAGTCAGTTTTTCTTTTTATTATTATTATTTTCTGTATATTATATTATTCAGTATCACAAGTTCAAAGAAACAAAAGAATTGTCTAAACAGCTATATTTAAAAATTCATCCTCTATTCCTATTTTCTATCTTTATAGATGTAATTTTTCTTCAAATTTGTATACATTCTACTTAATTAAAAAAAATCATTGAAATTTGCCTATCATAAATTTAAAAAAAATTTAGATCTTCCACCTTTTTAAAGTCTGCTAACTGTGAATAAAGACAACATTGCCAAATGCATGTCAAGGAGGGCTAATAAAAAACTTCACCTCAGTGTCAACTAGCGACATCTGGTGAGCGGAAGATTGTTACTCAATATCATTTAATTGGGAAGTTTGTTTTAAATATGAACGTATCGGTTTCTAGTTCGGAGTAGGTATTGTATTAATTCACAAAACAATGTCTCAGTGGTTTGCTCTTAAATTTTTTGCTCATTTTTAACTGTTTTTTTTGTCTTTTTTTCTACGTTTATGAATATCTATGGTTCAATTTATGTATTTTTAATCTAATATATAAAATAAATATAAAACATAACTAATAGTACAAAAAGAAACATTAACCTATACATTTTTCGAACAAATTAACTTTCCCGCAATGAAACCTGTCGAATATTAGACCTCATTTTAAGTGGCATTGCCCTGGCGGCAGAAAAAGTCGCGGATGCTTCATTAGATCACTCTTGTAAAGGCCCACGCCCATCTGTGGACTAATTTAGAAAAGATTAAAACTTTAAGTTACAGCCTATATTATACGTTCCACTGTTGGGCACAGACCCCCCTTTAATTTCTGAGATGGTTTTAGGTCAAGGAAATGTCCGCCGTGCAGCCCCATTTTGTGTTGTTTGTTGTGTTGTCATGTTGGCGAACTTCACATGTCTTCGAAATATAGTTTTTATTTTTTATTTCTCAGACATAAAGGCCGTCCCTCATGCAGATCATCGGTGAGATTAGTGCGACCACGTTTAAACTCATTAAACCGTGAAAGGATAATCGAAGTCTATCATAACTTTCTTGTTTACTTAAATGACATCGAAAGTCATAAAAAATCATTGTACGAAAATTTTCCCGCGTTAATTTTCAAACAATTTTCAATTTGCCGCCAAATAGTAAACATATGACAAATTAATAAAATAGGTACTAAAATATATATAATAAAATAATGGCAAAGAGTTCCATTTTCGAACTTTGAACTTATTTTTTATTATATACTTTACAAGTGGCCAGTTCTAAAAACTTTAGTGTTGCCCTCGTAAAATTGCAATTTACTAATTCATGGGTGCCGGCGAGGACCGAACATGGGTTGCTCGTGTACTATGAAATTTGCAGCAAGCGTTTAGCTCCTGAGCTACCACGGCTGGTTTACAATTTTATCTTACTCTCTTTCAATATAATTATTATAAAAAATAACAATTTTTAATAAACTTTCTTGTCTTCTAAAACATATCGTATTGTCAAGGTGGAACTGGGCCAGCTGCAATCGGCGTACAAGCAACTGGTGGCCCAGATGACGACGGTGTTCAACAAGAAGCTGTGGTACGTGATGCTGGAGCAGTTCTGCATGAAGTACGTGTGGTCCGGCACGGGGATGGTGATGCTGGCGTTACCCATTCTCACTGCACGGAAGAGTGATGGTGAGATTTATTACGTTGTATTAATCGTTCCTTTTGCCATGTGCATTCCGTTTTGTCCCATGGGTGACGTAAGATGCGACTATGGGATGTCCCAAATAGCTGTTATTAAAAATTATAAAATAGCAGCTTAATGCTGCTTTTTTATATAGAATTAGGGTGACAAACGAGCACACAGTCCACCTGATGGTAAGTGGTTCCTGTGGCCCATAGACATCTACATCTATCCTCGTTTACGAATCAAAATGCAGATGCGTTGTTGTGACCCATGAGGACTAAGATGGAGTACCTCGTTTCCAGTAAAAAAGGGTCTCCGGTTTTCTACACTCCCCATACGAAACACAGCAGCGTTATGCTGGTATTCTCCATCCCCGGTCGAGCCGACCCATTCGTGCTACAACTATACCATTAATATAGCTGCAGCATGGCTCTACCACGTAAACTTGCTGTACTTCGTATGATAAGTGTGAGAACCGAGGAGTTTTTCTGGAAACGAGGCATATTATCTTAGCTCTAAAGGTGACAACACATCTGCATTTTGATTCTTAATCCATGAAATGTATAGATGTCTATGAGCCACTGCATCCACTTACCATCAGGTGGACCATGGTCCATGAGAGCAGTGGAAGCATGTGACAATTAAGGCTTAACGCTACTGTGTTTCGTATGGTGGGTGTAGAGAACCGGAGACTTTTTTTTACTCGAAACGAGACATTCCGTCTTTGCCCTCACGGATGACGACGCATTTACATTTTGATTCTTAATCGAAGACACATGTAGAAGTTTATGGGCCACAGTATCCATTTACCATCAGACTGTGTGCTCGTTTGTAAAGGTCACAAATTTTATAAAAATAAGGCAAATGCTTCTACACTAGAAGAGGCCCATGGACCATGAAAGCATTGCATGCACAGCTGCTTGACGGCAATGAAAAGTGAGAGCGCATTACCTATCCGTGACGGCAAATGGCATGACGCTCTCTTATGCCGTCATGCGCCCTCTACGCTGCCGCTCTCGACTCTCTTGTGTATACATGCGTGCGAGTATATACACTTCGTTGCTTCCCTTTGTGAGTTGTGTACTGTGTGTTCCTTTCTATTCAAGTGTTGTATACTTGACGCGTTCACAGCTTGTAGAAATAGAAACTTTTTTATTCATTATAGATTATAAATAATACTTATTCAATGTCACTTTTATCAATTTACCACTAGTTCTCTCTTTTTCTCTCTTTTTTAAACATTACATCCACATTAGGATTTTCTCCTGTATCGTGGAGGCAGTTTACATACATAATTTTTACAAGGACAAACATCCAGTCTCGGAATAATTATTTGTAGGCCATATAAATACTCGTTCCTTGCGGGATTCAAACCCGCGGCCCTTGTGTGTGTTACAACTAATTGCTACGCCACTGTCCTTGTAAGAATCAGCAAGAACCAAGCGAACATGTTTTTGAAAAAAAAAACAGCTTACAATAATGTAATATGTTACACAATTATTAATGCACCTTTGTATTTCTTTTTGATATGATTGTCTTTTATTTTACTCGATGTTTTTATTGCTTTTCAATAATTTTAAATTCAACCATTAACTATAATGTTTTATTCACATCGGTCGGGCGGCCCGTGCCGGTCATCTTTTTGTAAAATAATTTTCATTATTATTTCACCAGATGGCAGTAACGAGGGTATTAGCGCGCGAACGGAATACATGACGACTTCGCGGAATCTTCTCAATTCTGCTGCAGATGCCATCGAGAGGCTTATGTCTAGTTATAAGGTAAGTTCTTCTTAAATATTTATTTTTTATTTTATATGAGAGAATTCACTAGCCCATATCATTCCGTGGGTGTCGTATGATGCGACATATGAAAACGGAAATATGTTTTAAGGTAACAGCGAATTCTTGATAACAACTCCAAAGAATTTGTATTTGAGAAATATTTCACTGACATTCCTATCTTGACAACAGTGTCATTGAATACTTCTCCAAATATTGCCGAGTCATTATTCAAAAAGAACGTTAATACCTGTTTAAAAGATATTAGATTTGAAAAACAAAGTGTGTGTGTACTTATGTACGCACGTAGAAAGTTATACTTCTTTATTCTTTAGCGTAACCAAACAAAAAAAAACTTGTGAGACAATTACCCACTGAAGTTGTCGCGTTTTGGTGTCAGTGTGCGCGCGCATCGTAAAAACTTCATGGTGTAGTTTTTAGGTATCGGTGTGCGCGCGCATCGTAAAAATTTACCCTCATCATTTTTCCCAAACGCCTCAAAAGAAGTACAACTTTAAAAGTATTACCACAAGATATTGTATTATATTTCAAAACTCTTGATGTAAAGAAAACCGCAGATTTATGGGGGATTTTGTAGCCCTGGTTCCGCTCGATAGTTTTTCCATACGAGCGGTATTAAAGTTGCGTAAGTCCCACCGCATGCATTTGGAGATCTGTCTGTTCAGTGGCCTGTGTGCTGTCAAATCTACTGAAGACTGCAGCTTCATTTCCCGTCTAACAGCCATGAGATTAAGAGTGTGATCGGATAGTTTTTGTGTTCTTCTGCGGTGGGTCTTGCAAAACTTAGCTCCGACCGAATGGACAGTTTTCACGAGCTTGTTATTCATATCGTACACTGCATTGCAATCTTCTAGGCAATGAAAATAGTTTTGTAGCTCGAGCTGAAAGGTTTCGGGAGCGTTGGTTGGAAGGAACGTTGACTTCATTAGACGTAACCTCTCCAAATTTACGTTTAGGTTCAGTGTGCCTCTCACCATTCGGTGATCACCGCCGGTTTTCACCCTCGCGATTACTGAGACATCACTGAACAGTTGTCGTCTGGTCGTCATAATGAACTCAATTTCATTTTTTGTCGAACCGTCGGAGCTCGACCAGGCCCAGATCCTGTGGGGCCGCTTCTGGAAGAAAGAGTTTATCATAAAGAGTCCCGCTTTCTCCATAAAGTCGGCCAGCTGCTGGTCCCTTGAGTTCTGTTGCCCTATTCAAAATTTCCCTACCATCAGCTCACCGTTCTCTGTTGTCTTTAGTTTTGCGTTGAAGTCTCCCATTATACCGTATAATGGGTTTTGGGGGAATGCATGGCTCTAGATATGTCCTCATACATTTTCTCCACCTCCTCATCGGGATGTGTCGAGCTTAGTGCGTAAAACTGTGTGGCCTTTAGTGAATACCGTTTGGTGATTCTGAGTATAAGGTACGCAACCCTCGTCAACACACTCTCAATCTTTACAACGTTGTTAATGAGAGACTTGTGGACGATAAATGTGACACCTCCTTGGGACAGATGGTCGCCCTCCCGGTGATAGAACAAATTTCCGAACTCTCTCTTCTTCTTCACAACTTCAGATCTTGAGGCTGAAGTTTGAAGTCTCCTCGGTCCTCAGGGTGCGTGCGTTATATGTTCCAGGTCGAGTCGTCTTAGGTGGCAATGGAACTTCCACCGGAGATTCTTAGCACCCCCTGTCCCACCGTTACCAAGGTCACCACTGTAGCCTGGAATAGCGGGGCCGCCGGTGACTTGGGGCTGGCTCTTCATAACTTTAATCATGGTTGAGCGGGTTGGGAACCGCAGTTCTTTTATTGTTGTTTTGCTGTTATCAGAAAGATGCTGCTGTCCATCTTCTGCCACAGTTTCCCTCTGTTGCCTCTTACGAGCACCCACGGGAAGATATAAGGTAGTCGATATTCTTACCCGCCACTACACGGATTGCATGGTACGTACGTATGTGTACATATATTTTAAATATACGTACACATACGTACGTATACGTAAACCTACATATTTGTATAATACAAAAATAAATATAAATTCATTTAACCATGTTTTCAAGAAGTGTTACTTAGTTATATAAATAGTGAATATGTTTTCCTATCAAATGAACATACCTATAATCCACCTAATGGTAAGTGGATGATGTAGCCCGTAGACACCTATCTATTCTCGATTACGAATCAAAATGCAGATGCAGATGCCCTGAGGATCATGATAGAATGCCTCGTTTCCAGTAAAGAAAGTCTCCGGTTATCTCCACTCACCATATGAAACTCAGCTGCATTAACGTGCTATTTTATGCTGGTATTCTGTGAGAGCGTGGTTTTTTCTCGATGGAGCTGACCCATTCATGCTGCAACCATAATATAACTGCAGCGTTGCTCTTCCACCTTACAAAGGTCAGGAGAGACACTCACCATACGAAACACAGCTGTATTAAGCTGCAATTTTACACTTGTATTCTGTGAGAGTGTGGCACTCCTTGTAAAGTATAAGTGTCTGTGTGTGTGTGTGTGGCAGGAGGTGGTGACGCTGGCAGGGTACGCGACGCGCGTGTCGGACATGCTGCTGGTGTTCGGCGAGGTGGCGCGCGGCCGCTGCGTGCGCGCCGTGCACACAGCCGCCCAGCACCCCGGCTTTCAGGTCACGTTCCGAGAGCGTCAGCCTGTGCCCCTGGGTAAGTGCACACCGTCGCCCACCACCCCGGCTTCCAGGTCACGTTCCTCAAGCGTCAGCCTGTGCCCCTGGGTGAGTGCACACTGCCGCCCACCACACCGGCTTCCAGGTCACGTTCCGTGAGCGTCAGCCTGTGCCCCTGGGTGAGTGCACACCGCCGCCCACCACACCGGCTTCCAGGTCACGTTCCGCGAGCGTCATCCTGTGCCCCTGGGTGAGTGCACACCGCCGCCCACCACCCCGGTTTCCAGGTCACGTTCCTCAAGCGTCAGCCTGTGCCCCTAGGTGAGTGCACACCGCCGCCTACCACAACGGTTTCCAGGTCACGTTCCGCGAGCGTCAGCCTGTGCCCCTGGGTAAGTGCACACCGCCGCCCACCACCCCGGCTTTCAGGTCACGTTCCTCAAGCGTCAGCCTGTGCCCCTGGGTGAGTGCACACTGCCGCCCACCACACCGGCTTCCAGGTCACGTTCCGCGAGCGTCAGCCTGTGCCCCTGGGTGAGTGCACACCGCCGCCCAGCACCCCGGTTTCCAGGTTACGTTCCACGAGCGTCATCCCGTGCCTCAGGGTGAGTGCACACTGCGCCACATCCCGGCTTTCAGGTCACGTACCGCGAACGCCAGACCGTTTTATACTTAGCTAGCCCGTTTATACTGCTAAAACGAGTGGGAGATTATAGTTCTACCCTCATTTCTTCGTATTTTCTTTTAGTTTTTACCGTCATTTCTAACACCATATTCATTAATGTGCACATTAAAATTTAAAACCTATTCTGTACATTTTTAATAACAAAATCTGTTGTTAACACGCGGTAGAAGTGAAATTTTCAGACAAGAAGACCGAAATAATAGGAAACATCTCATATATATCTTCGTCTCTTTTTAATGTCGCTTTTCATTTCATCGCGTTTCAAATCACAACGAAGCTAAATAAATTTTCATTTCAAAAAATCATACATAGTCGTCCTTAGTGGAGGCATACTAAATCGCACATGTTAAATTAACATCAATTGTTTCAGGCAAAATAACATACACCAACGACCTGTCAATCCGGCTGCGTAATGTTCCTATAGTGACACCGACGTGCGATGTGGTGGCGAGCGGCGTCTCGCTAGACCTTGCGCCCGGCACACACTTGCTTATTGTGGGGCCGAACGGTTGTGGAAAATCTAGGTAAGTCCTATGGTTTCTCTGTCGGTTAATCTATATACTCGTATTGTATATATTTAAATCTTTGTTTGCTGCTGAGTTCAACGATTAGGTCATTTATGTTAACAGTGGTAGAGCCACGCGGCAGCTTTTGCTGTCGCACGAATGGGCCGGCTCGAACCGGGGTAGTACCACGACCTCACAGAAAACCAGCGTGAAGTAGAGGTTTACCTCTGCGTTTCGCTTGGAGTGCAGGTGGCCGGAGGCCCTTTTTACTGGAAATGGGGCATTCTATCTTAGTCCTCACGGGAGACAACGCATCTACATTTTGATTTGTAATGGATCGATGTAGATGTCTATGGGCCGCAGCAACCACTTACCATCAGGTGGACTGTGTGCTCGTTTGTCTTCCTTATCCTATAAAAAAAATGTACAGGTTGAAAAGTTTTGGTGATATAATCTCACCCTGTCTGCTCCACATTGCGAAGCTTATATACACGGTATATGTCATTAGCTTCTCCCTGCAGCACAGACGCGATCTTGTACTACTTGATGAAAAGAATCCTCTATGTGTATAAACAAATCCATTAAAGGATTCGTTTATATAAGACCGTAAGGAGGTAGCAGCATCTCGCTGATAAGAACTTGACGTTATTAACAACTACAATTTCCAGCCTTCTTGCCAAGCGTGGCAATTATAGCAAAATGCATGGCAATAAGGCGCTCTATGAGGAAGCCTATGTTCAGCAGTGCACTTTTATATGCTGTAATAGATGGATGGAGGGATTGAAGGATTTATAGCTAAAGTTGGTAACGCCGTGGTAAGGTTATTCTTCGACGTGCTAGAGCCATGCTGCAGCTATATTCTAGTTGTAGCACGAATGGGTCGGCTCGACCGAAAGCAAAATCCGCTACGTAATGAACGTGTTCTCCGGCAGCCTGTTCCGCATAATCTCGGGGCTGTGGCCGGTGTTCGGCGGCGAGCTGGCCGTGCCGCGGCCGTGCGCCTGCGCGCACTGCGCCGCCGAGCCCGCCGCGCCGCCGCACTGCGCGTCGCGCCCCGTCATGTTCTACATCCCGCAGCGGTACGCACTACGCACTACACACTACGCACTACGCACTACGCACTACGCACACACGCAACAACTTACAACATTTTAAACTACTATCTACAAATTATATATTATTATAAAAGTATTATGTTATATTGTGGATGCCACAGAATCGTTAATACAATTTATTAAGGTGCTTTGGGGTAAATACGACATATTTTCTGATTAGTTGATACGATGCATATTTAATAATTATTTTTAAAAAATCTATCTAAGTTTACAACCAACTCATGTCACTTTTATTTATTGAAATACATATCCTGATTATTTTGTTATTCATCTTAATAAAATGTCTTTGCGTTGCGTAAATACAATCATTTAAAATTTGACATATTTTTATTTTGGATAAGGTGTAATTCCGATATAACGCGGTAACCGAAATTTTTTTAAAGTGTTCCTTTTTGACCTTCGTCAGAAGGTTTAAATTTACGTTCGCGTTAAAATTACGTTTCGTTCGTCTATACCCCTCTACAAAAAGCATTGATACATACTTTATGTTTCTAATTGAACTATATTTTGCTCACTTGAATTTTCGGAATTACCCCACATAAAGTCCAGTGGTTCTAAACATTTAAGGCACTACCACGGCAGCGCATCTTGCGTTCCCGTAGTTGGACAGTTATTAGGCTTGTTAAAGAGGTTTCTTCAAACTTTTATAACAGGTAAGCGAGAATAAAAAAATATTTTTTTATACATTTCTTTATACATTTTTTATGAGTCAAAGTATCCGAAATCGGAATTTTTCAAACCTTTAAAAACTCATAACTGCGAAAATATTACCTTTATCGTAAAACGTCATAGGACCTTTTGTATTTATAATTTACCAAGAAATATAAAAAAATATACTTTATTCTTTTTCTTTATGCATTTCTAATGGGTCAAATGTATCCGAAATTGGAATTTTTCAAGCCTCTAACAATTCATAGAAGATATTAACTTTATCGTAAAAAGTCACGGGACTTTTTTATTCGTATTTTATCAAAGAATATTAAAAAAATAATCCCATTTGAAAATAACAATTCAAGTTTAAACAATACCTACGGCACCGAGATGCCTCATAGCAACACGCATTTATATCATCAGTACGACAAATTGAAGGGAATCGCATAAAAAATTGATGTGGAATAGTTTTCGGTACTCACGCACCTATTCCTTCTGAACAATGTCTAAATATTTGGCATTGCGGTAGGTACGCCTTGCCCACTGCCGTTGGTTAAATTCGCGAACGTGTTAAACTTATCCAAAATAACAATTAATGCTGACGAAAGATTGACAGCCACTGGAAACTACAATGGAAAATGGAAAAGTCTTTCGATAGTCCATTAACTCGTAATTAACCCCGTGGGGTATTTCCGAAAAAAACACAAAAACAATAGCTGGCTAATCCTAACCTATAAAATAAAGTTTTAAAAACGATTACCTATCATAGAATCAAACAATCATTAAGGTTACTTAGCAAATTCCTAAGATAATGAACGTGGGGTAATTCCGAAAAACCGAAAAGAGTTGAAAAAAGCTGTTTGCACCGAAAAGTTAACTTTGCACGCGCACTATTGAGACTAGCTACCTGAAACGACTGAAGCGAGGAAGACAAATAAAATGTCGTCTAGAATAATGTGACCAGAGCAAAAAATATTGCCTAGTTAAGCCGTAATTTGTAAATAACGGAATTCCCCCATTTTCGTAATAACCCCAAACCTCCTTATTAAAATTTAAAAATGTTAGTGTTGTCTGCATGTTTTAATATTCTGGTATGTTTAAAATACAAGGCAATGTTATTAATAATAATAACAAATAGTAAAGGCCCTAACAAAGAACCTTGAGGCACATCGGTGGGAATTGACATCCACACGAACGTAAACTCATTTATAATAAATGCCTGGGATCTATTACTAATATACGACGAAATTCATTTATCAGTTATAACAGTTGTTGGTGTTCTGAATAAAATAACATAAAATATTTTTTTTTATTAACAGCTTTGATGTATTTCACTAATTTAAAATTTAAAAAAATCTTAATAAAGAAGATTTAAAAATTTGTGGCGCGCAAAGAGTAGGACCAGAAAAACTCTGAAGCAAACAGCTTGTTGATATTTGAAGTTTTAGTTCGAAATAATTCCAAGTTGCTGTTACCTAATGACGAATTGTTGAAAAAGTTACTTGTGAGAATCAAGAAAGAGTTGTGTCGATAATTAGTATTGGCAGTAGTTTGAGTATGTCTTATAAGTAATTTGTGGGGTACCCAGATGATAACTTGCTCCAATAAAGAAGCACAATCAATGAGACCACTAATAATTTTTAACAGACAATACGCACAGATACTATGCACATAGAGACAGAAAGGAACTTTAATGGGTTGTATAGATTTAAAGTTGTTAGTTGATCTTATGATCAACTAACAACTTTAAATCTCTCAGATTTGGAGGTCTTGCTCACTGCATAATCGATGTTTTTATCAAAGAAAAGCTTAGAATCTTTGATTACTCCTAAATCTTAACAGTGGTAGAGCCACGTGGCAGCTTTTGCTGTCGCACGGATGGGCCGGCTTGAACCGGGGTAGTACCACGACCTCACAGAAAACCAGCGTGAAGTAGAGGTTTACCTCTGCGTTTCGCTTGGTGAGTGCAGGTGGCCGGAGGCCCTTTTTACTGGAAATGAGGCATTCCATCTTAGTCCTCACGGGTGACGCATCTACATTTTGATTTGTAACAGAGGATAGATGTAGATATCTATGGGCCGCAGCAATCACTTACCATCAGGTGGACTCGTTTGTCACCCTCATCCTATATAAAAAAAAGCTTTCAGAGATGTAACTTTAGTAAGGGATTTATTATTGATGATGTACATAGGCTGCACTAAAAGTATCGGGAATGGAATATTTCCACTGTTCCTGTCATATTAAAATCTTTTTAATTGAAAAGTCCTTGGTTTTAAAAATCGAATACCATTTATTTATTTAAAAAAAAATTCTCGGTCTTGTCACAAGGTTTTGTCAAACTTGTTTAGTCGTTGAGAAAATGGAATTGACTCAAGAAAATTCAAGAGCGATGATTTATTATGACTTTCGAAGTGGTTTAACACAAAAACAGTGTGTTAACCGGATGATTTCTGCATTTGGTGATGAAGCCCCATCCAAAACCATAATTTATCGCTGGTTTGCTGAATTTCAACGTGGACGTGTCAAGCTTAATGATGATCCCCGTCAAGGTCGTCCAAAAACTGCAGTCACCCAAGAAAACGTTGATGCTGTGCGTAAGCTGATTGAGGCAGATCAACATGTGACATACCGCGAAATTCAGGCAACTTTAGATGCATGAGTCAAATACATATAATCTTGCATGAACAATTAGGTGTAAAAAAGTTGTTTTCCCGATGGATACCGCATTCGCTTTGTGAAGAGCAAAAAGCGGCTCGCGTTACTTGGTGCGTCAGAACTCTCGAAAGATTCCACGCAGGATCCTCAAATGCTGTATACAACATCGTATCAGGTGACGAATCCTGGATATACGCGTACGAACCCGAAACAAAAAACCAGTCACGAGTTTAGGTGTTCGAAAATGAGTTAAAGCCAACAAAAATTGTTCGTTCACGGAGTGTTGCAAAAAAAAATGGTGGCCACGTTTGTCTCCAAAACCAGCCATGTTACGACTATTCCTCTTGAGGGACAAGGAACGGTTAATGCAGAATGGTATGCTAGCATTTGTTTGCCACAGGTTGTTTCTGAACTCCGTAAAGAGAACTGCAACCGCCGCATCATCCTCCATCACGACAATGTGAGTTCTCACACCGCACACAGAACAAAAGAGTTTTTAGAGCAAGAAAACATAGAATTATTAGACCATCCGCCGTACAGCCCCGACCTAAGCCCTAATGATTTCTATACTTTCCCTAAAATAAAGAATGAATTGCGTGGACAGAGATTTTCATCACCTGAAGAAGCTGTGGACGCCTACAAAACGGCCATTTTGGAGACCCCAACTTCCGAATGGAATGGTTGCTTCAATGATTGGTTCCATCGTATGGAAAAATGTGTCAAATTTCGCGGAGAATACTTCGAAAAGCAATAAATACATTTTTAAATAGTTATGTTGTGTCACTTCCTTGATTCCCGAAATTTTCAGTGCCGCCCTCGTATTAATAATTTATAGGGTTGCGTTCCGAAAAAAAGTCATTGCAAAATATTTGAAAAGCTTGTTTCGAATACAATATTGTAAAAAAAAATATTTAAATCAACTTGTATACGTTCACAATCAGCAAAACCATGAAAATTTAAGTTTCGTCTGTATATAATAGACCTCTGGCTTGTTCAAAATACAAAGTAATGTCAATTTTAAAAATTACAAATAGCAAAGGCCCTTAAAAAGAGCCTTGAAGCACATCAGAAGGAATTGATGTCCACATGGACGAAAACTCATTTATTTTAACCGCCTGGGATCTTTGACTAATAAACGACGTAAATTAAGAACTTTTCTTACATAACTGTATACGGTTCAAATAACAAACATTTATTTTATGCTGACGCGGTTCGAACCGCCGCGCCGCGAAGTACTTATAATGCACCAAACTTACTTAACTATCTAATAAGCTGTACTAATTGCAAACTGTGGCCCCTACATTATTTTTGGTCCTTTGAGCCGGATATGGAGTTTCTATCACCGTTTCTTCTCGTATATGACCGGCCTATTGCCACTTCATCTTACTAATCCATGCAAGAAGGTGTGATATATAAAACAATACAATGTTGTGTCCAGGCCGTACATGTCGATGGGGTCACTGCTGGACCAGGTGACATACCCGTCACGTGCGGATCCGGGTGACACAGCAGCGGAGGCGCGCGCGGCGCACATCCTGCGCGTCGTGCGCCTCGAGCAGTGCGCCGCGCGCCTCGGCGGCCTGCGCGCGCTCGCCGACTGGCGCGCCACGCTCTCCGGCGGCGAGAAGCAGCGCCTCGCCATGGCGCGCATGTTCTACCATCGGTCAGTGCACTCGCTCACTCGCTCACACTCACTAGCTCGCGCCTCGAGCAGTGCGCCGCGCGCCTCGGCGGGCTGCGCGCGCTCGCCGACTGGCGCGCCACGCTCTCCGGCGGCGAAAAGCAGCGCCTCGCCATGGCGCGCATGTTTTACCACCGGTCAGTGCACTCGCTCACTCGCTCACACTCACTAGCTCGCGCCTCGAGCAGTGCGCCGCGCGCCTCGGCGGCCTGCGCGCGCTCGCCGACTGGCGCGCCACGCTCTCCGGCGGCGAAAAGCAGCGCCTCGCCATGGCGCGCATGTTTTACCACCGGTCAGTGCACTCGCTCACTCGCTCACACTCACTAGCTCGCGCCTCGAGCAGTGCGCCGCGCGCCTCGGCGGCCTGCGCGCGCTCGCCGACTGGCGCGCCACGCTCTCCGGCGGCGAAAAGCAGCGCCTCGCCATGGCGCGCATGTTTTACCACCGGTCAGTGCACTCGCTCACTCGCTCACACTCACTAGCTCGCGCCTCGAGCAGTGCGCCGCGCGCCTCGGCGGCCTGCGCGCGCTCGCCGACTGGCGCGCCACGCTCTCCGGCGGCGAGAAGCAGCGCCTCGCCATGGCGCGCATGTTCTACCACCGGTCAGTGCACTCGCTCACTCGCTCACACTCACTAGCTCGCGCCTCGAGCAGTGCGCCGCGCGCCTCGGCGGCCTGCGCGCGCTCGCCGACTGGCGCGCCACGCTCTCCGGCGGCGAAAAGCAGCGCCTCGCCATGGCGCGCATGTTTTACCACCGGTCAGTGCACTCGCTCACTCGCTCACACTCACTAGCTCGCGCCTCGAGCAGTGCGCCGCGCGCCTCGGCGGCCTGCGCGCGCTCGCCGACTGGCGCGCCACGCTCTCCGGCGGCGAGAAGCAGCGCCTCGCCATGGCGCGCATGTTCTACCATCGGTCAGTGCACTCGCTCACTCGCTCACACTCACTAGCTCGCGCCTCGAGCAGTGCGCCGCGCGCCTCGGCGGCCTGCGCGCGCTCGCCGACTGGCGCGCCACGCTCTCCGGCGGCGAAAAGCAGCGCCTCGCCATGGCGCGCATGTTTTACCACCGGTCAGTGCACTCGCTCACTCGCTCACACTCACTAGCTCGCGCCTCGAGCAGTGCGCCGCGCGCCTCGGCGGCCTGCGCGCGCTCGCCGACTGGCGCGCCACGCTCTCCGGCGGCGAGAAGCAGCGCCTCGCCATGGCGCGCATGTTCTACCACCGGTCAGTGCACTCGCTCACTCGCTCACACTCACTAGCTCGCGCCTCGAGCAGTGCGCCGCGCGCCTCGGCGGCCTGCGCGCGCTCGCCGACTGGCGCGCCACGCTCTCCGGCGGCGAAAAGCAGCGCCTCGCCATGGCGCGCATGTTTTACCACCGGTCAGTGCACTCGCTCACTCGCTCACACTCACTAGCTCGCGCCTCGAGCAGTGCGCCGCGCGCCTCGGCGGCCTGCGCGCGCTCGCCGACTGGCGCGCCACGCTCTCCGGCGGCGAAAAGCAGCGCCTCGCCATGGCGCGCATGTTTTACCACCGGTCAGTGCACTCGCTCACTCGCTCACACTCACTAGCTCGCGCCTCGAGCAGTGCGCCGCGCGCCTCGGCGGCCTGCGCGCGCTCGCCGACTGGCGCGCCACGCTCTCCGGCGGCGAAAAGCAGCGCCTCGCCATGGCGCGCATGTTTTACCACCGGTCAGTGCACTCGCTCACTCGCTCACACTCACTAGCTCGCGCCTCGAGCAGTGCGCCACGTGCCTCACACCCCGTTCTTCATTTCCGCACACAGCACACACTGATTCTTACATTCACCTTTAACGTACGTAAAATAGAAATAGCACTATCAAACTAATAAGACGGCTCCGTGGCGTAGTGGCTTAGCAATGAGTTGCAACGCTTGGGAGCCGCAGGTTCGAATCCCGCACGGAACAAGTATTTGTATGGCCTACAAATAATTGTTCCGGGTCTGGATGTTTGTCCTTGTGCAATATATGTTTGTAAACTGCCTCCACAATACAGGAGAAAATCCTAGTGTGGGGGTAACGTTTTTTAGAAATCAAAAAACAAAAAAAAAAACTGTCAAACAAAGACTTCTATATAGATTTTCTGTGACCTATCCAAGGTCTTCGATTGTGGTGACCATGAAACAGTAATCAAGAAACTTCAACACTACGGTGTAAGAGGCGATGTTCTTACATTTATTATTTCATATTTAAGTAACAGAAGGCAAACAGTTGTCATTAACAGTATGAACTCTTCCGGGTCGATGGTACAAATGGGTGTACCTCGAGGCTCAATTCTCGGCCCCTTTCTGTTTCTTGTATACATTAATGACTTACCTTACATAGTAGGGGATAACCATGATATAGTATTATTTGCTGATGACACTTCTTTAATTTTCAAATTAAGACGACAATTACTAAAATATGACGAAGTAAATAATGCTATACTTAAATTAGTAAATTGGTTCAATGTTAATAATTTGCATTTAAATGGCACTAAAATGAAATGTTTGAAATTTATGACTCCAAATGTCAAACAATTAAATACTAATGTAATTTTAAATGGTGAGAAACTGAATCTCATAGATACCACCATTTTTCTTGGAATCACACTAGACGCGAAACTTCAACGGAGCCCCCATATATCAAAACTAGCAAGCAGACTTAGTTTTGCAGCATATGCTGTAAAAAAGATTAGAAATCTTACCAGTGTTGAAACAGCTAGACTAGTTCACTTTAGCTATTTCCATAGTATAATGTCGTATGGTATTTTGCTGTGGCTTGCGGCTGACACTCAATTATATTTGTTTTACAGAAGAGGGCCATAAGAGCAATTTATGATTTTAAGCCTAAATAGTCGCTGCGACAAAAATTTAAGAAAATTAATATATTAACTTTGGCCTCTCAATACATTTATGAAAATATAATGTACGTACACAAAAATAAAAGTAGTTTTACAAAAATATTAAGTGATATTCATTCTGTAAATACTAGGAACAGACACAAGCAAGTAGTACATGTTACTCGATTCTATCGAGTCAGTAATTCATACTTGGGGCGATGTACCTATACGCTTTTATAACAAAATTCCAGAAAATATACAAAATTTGATCTGCTCAAAGTTCAAAAACTTTATTAAACTAAGTTTGTATAAAAAGGGTTATTATAATATTAATTAATTTATAGATGATAATAACCCATGTAAATGAGGTGATCGCTACCAAGCTAGGACCTCTCCCGAACTTTTTCCAAGACAAGGGGCAAACCATTATTAGTGTACTACTCTGCAGTAACTGTTTTGCGATCCTCTAAAACAACTGTTGCGTAATGACCTGTCCTTCCAAAAAACGAGGCCACCATCTTTTTTCCCACGTTTCGACCTCTCTTCACTTTAGTTGGCAACTGCTCGGAAGGAAACACCCAGACAGCAGACTGTCTCTTAGTTTCAGGATCATAACAATAAATCTAGCTTTCGTCACCCGTAAGTATGTCGAACACAGCATTTGAGTCACCTCCGTTAAATATTTGAACAATTTCACCACACCAATTAACACGACGGAGTTTATGGACCTCTGTCAAATTATGAGATATCCACCGGGCACAAAGCTTCCTGACCGCTAGATGTTCGTGGAGGATTTTTTTCACTTGACTCATACCGATGCATAAGCTTGTCCTAATCTGCTGATAAGTCACTCTTTTGTCAGTCTATATCATACGCCGCACAACACTGATGTTATCTTCAGTCGTCGCCGCAGAAGGCCGTTCCTCACGCAGATCATCGGTGAGATTAGTGCCACCACGTTTAAACTCATTAAACCAGTTGTAAACAATGGCACAAGATAGGATTTCATCGTGAAAGGCCAATCGAAGTCTATTACACTAACTTTCTTGTTGACTCAAATGTCATCGAAAGTCATAAAAAATCATTGTACGAAAATTTTCTCGCGTTAAATTCCTGCTGACATGACAAAGACATTTTTCAATTTGCCGCCAAATCGTAAACAAATGACAAATTAATAAAAATACCATATACAATAATATTGGCCAAATTAATAAAAATACCATATACAATAATATTGGCAGTCTATTACACTAACTTTCTTGTTGACTTAAATGTCATCGAAAGTCATAAAAAATCATTGTACGAAAATTTTCTCGCGTTAAATTCCTGCTGACATGACACAGACATTTTTCAATTTGCCGCCAAATCGTAAACAAATGACAAATTAATAAAAATACCATATACAATAATATTGGCAAAGAGTTCCATTTTCAAAATTTGTACTTATTTTTTATTATACCGTTTACAAGTGGTCAGTTCTAAAAACTTTCAGTGTCGCCCTCGTACAATGTATATGCCCCAAATTACATTCATCACCATGTTTAGTTAACGAAGTACCTTAGCCCATTCTTCTCATAGTATTTTCTGTTCCCAGACCTGTGTACGCGTTGTTGGACGAATGTACCAGCGCGGTGTCGATGGAGACCGAAGTGGTGATGTACGAAGAAGCGATAAAGGAGGGCATCACGCTGCTCTCTATTACGCACCGACCCAGCGTCTGGTAAGTTACTAAAACTGTATGTACTGTATTTTTTTATAGGAGAGGGAGCAAACGAGCATGCGGCTCACCTGATGGTAGGTGACTACCGCCGCCCATGAACAACTGCTACACCAGGGGAATTGCAGATGCGTTGCCGGCCTTTTAAAATGAATAGGCTCTTTTCTTGAAGGTCCCTAGGTCGTATCGGTCCGGAAAAATCGCTGGTAGTAATCGATTCCACAAGAAAGTTGTGCGAGGAAGAAAACATCTTCTAAATCGCACAGTGGTGGACCGCCAATCATCCAGATGGTGTGGATGGTATAGAGAGTTCTGCCGCGATGTGCGTTCGTGAAATCTGTATCCTAGCTGGGAGTCCTTGCAAAGGTGCGGCGATACTTCACGCCGGGACAGCTGCTTACTTTATATAAAGCGCAAGTCCAGTCGTGCATGTAGTATTGCTGCCATATATGGGCTGGTGCTGCAAAATGCCACCTAGCAGCTCTGGACTCAATGGAAAGGCGTGCTAAGAGGCTTATTGGTGACCCGAATTTGGTTAAAACCAATCTTAACAGCCTCGAACACAGACGTAAAGTAGCCAGCCTTTCGGTTTTCTACAGAATGCATTTCAGAGAGTGTGTGCAGGAATTACATAATTTAATTCCCCCCTCTCCTTTCCACCATCGGACAACCAGACGTTCGGCCAGTCTCCACCCTTTCGTTGTTGACTTACCACGCATTCGAACCAAACGGTTCGCCACGTTGTTCATCAAGCGTACAGCAAAGGAGTGGAATAAGTTGCCAGTTGCTGTCTTTCCATCCGATTACAGTGTGGGTGTCTTCAAGCCAAGAGTGAATAGGCTTTTGTTAAGGCAGTGCGCTTCACCATCTTAGGGTACATCACCACTTACCATCAGGTGGGATCGTAGATAAGCGCTGGCTTAGTAGAATAAAAAAAATACTATTGTAGAAAGGTAACAGTGTTCATCCCTGGTACTGCGACCGTGAAGAGGTAAATGTCTTACGTTATGTCTATATTTGATTTTCAGACTCAGGACCTCATCATGGTCAGCAACCGCTTTTACAACTACTAGATCAACGATGCAGTCATTATCGGTTATTGGGTTTTTTTTGTCAAGAAATTTTGACTAGCAGTCCGTTGTCAGGAAGTTGGCGGTGTTTTCACCCCCGCCTTGGAAAGTACGTAAATCCGTTGGTCCTACGCCTTATCTTCCTCCGGTCGTGCCGGTTTACCGTCCATTTGGACAATACAGTGAGGGAAAAGAGAGTGCACCTGTGCTTGCGCATACACTTGGTCACTGTAATCCGACAGGATTGTCTTTGTTAAGACTGGCCGCCGTGACCGAAATTCGGTCTGGAGGCCATAATTATTATATTTAAATTTGTTTTATTAATTGTTTAATGACTTTTGTAGGAAATACCATACGCATGTACTGGAGTTCGACGGCGCCGGTAACTGGTCATTCCGGCCGTTGGAGAAAGATGTACCGGCCGTCACCATTGGCCCGCTGTCTATATCTTCCGAAACGGCTTCGGATTCTGTTGACAGTGGCGGGGAGCAGTGATGAAAGATTTTATTTTAGGCGAAGTGCGATTTCTTGCTTCGGACTCGTAAAATGTGATTCTGTTGTGTGATCTTTGAATTCTACAATTTCCGAAATTATTAGTTGTGGCGTGTCACGTATACACATACGTGGTTTCGGTTATCTGAGATGATTTTAGATGAGCACTCAAGAATAACGTCTAGGAAATTAAATGTTACTTTCATAAAGTAAGGTTTCTAGAAGAATTCGGTCCGAGGGACACTGGCTTATGATTACTAGTAAAGAATATATAGAGTAGTAGAAACAATATTCGTGTAAGTTTTAACCTTATGCGTAATGTAATAGAGTTTAAAATTGTATACATTATAATGTGTAATCTATCGGACCACAGACTATAATGTTTCTATTGTAAAGTAAAGAGTGAACGGGTTAATGATTCATTGTGATTCAATCAATTTTTACTTCCAAGCTCTTGTAGTGTGATTTGATATTGATAAGTATAGTTTGTTGCAAGGATTTTTTCTACCGCTCTGTCAATTTTGAATTTTATTCGATCTGTCACTTTGACAGTTCTGTACAGATTAATGTTAATTTTCAAAGCTCCATTCTTTCTATTCAAACCAAATGAATAGGCAAAACACTACGTACCTACAATTTAAGTGACACCCCGTCACCATGCATAACTTATTGTAAGGACAGACACTAACAAATGCACACATATAATAATAACGTGTATGTGTGAGTGCTTGTTCGTACAATTAGTTGCATGTAGTATGTGTGTGCACGAAGTGTTCTTTCTTTCCTTTTTTGATCAGACTCTTTCTATAGATTATTCGGAAAAGGTAAGAGATTTTTATAACGTAGACAAATACCAGTTATTTAGTATTGTAAATAATTTTGTATGTGATATTGAAACTATTGAAATTTAAATATGTACTATTATATTCTTATCCTGTATAAATATAAGTAAAAATAATATGGCGCCTAGAGAGCGTGATAATTCTTTGAATTTATTTCCCTATTTAAGCTCTCCTCTGTGCTGATTTCTAAACGGATTTTTGTTGTTTGTTGTGTAGTTAAATGATAACTTGAGAGATTTACTAATTATGTATATTGTCAGATTGACAATTTACACTCGTGTGTAGGCACAATAGTCTATATTCGTTAATATAGACGTACTACGCAAGGCTCAGAAGGGCTAGAACCCAGAGCCGTAAAGCCAGTTTAAAAAAACGTACTACGCATTAAATTGCGGCGGATGCCGAACGTAACAAATATATATTTGTATGGCCTACAAATAATAGTTCCATGTCTGGATGTTTATCCATGTGCAACATATATATTAAAATGCCTCCACGATACAGGAGAAAATCCTAGTTACATAAAAAAAATAGTGTAATATTAAAAAAAAAACAACTGCGTTATAGACCTGCCCTTAATTTGATAACCCCAACTAGCAATTATTTGTAATATGGATGGAATGGTTTTCAATAAAACTAACTTTACTAATTTTATCGGGCTTTATTTCAACTTTAAATTCTCAAAGTAGTACAAAGTTAAACGCGATAAAATACATAAAAATAGTTTTAGTGTCATTTATTAAACAAGAGATTAACATTGGTATGTATTTATCGCTAGGCGTCATTTTAAGGTTAATGTATTTTATATTATTTTTGAAACTTCGTATTTGTGATGAGATTTTTCAATATGGCTGTTAATCTTTTATTTTTTATTTGTATATTTATAGATAATTTTTATTAGAATACCCTTTTCTACTGGTAACGATGCTTTGTATTTTAGTCTCACGGGTGACGATATATCTACATTTAGATTCGTATTCAAGGATAGACGTGTCTATGGACCACAGCATTCGCTTACCATCCTGATGGTATTGTGTGCTCGTTTGTCACCCTTACTGTATTAAAATCATAATAAATTGTTATTCTGTCGGGATGGAAATCACATACCTTGTATTATTTATTAAATCCCCCGACTTCCTGGTTTGTGTATAGTGTACAAAATAACGTGTAAAAAGTGGGAGATAAGAATAAATGGGTTTTTATTAGAACTGTGTTTTATTGTCAGCCCACTTGCTAGCTCAGTGGTTACTTGTTCGCTGTAAATTTGAGAGTGCGCGAGTAACCCGGGTTCGATCACCGCAACCGCAGATTTACGTGCACCGCGGTGAACGAAAACATCGTGAGGAAGTAATTTTATACGTGGTAGAGGCACGCTGCAGCTATATTAGTTGTAGCACGAATGGGTCGGCTCGACCGAGGTAGGCTAGAACCCGCTCTCATAGAATACCAGCGTAAAATAGCAGCTTAACACTGCTGTGTTTCGTATGGTGAGTGTAGAGAACCGGAGACCCTTTTTTACTGGAAAAGAGGCATTCCATCTTAGTCCTCACGGGTGATAACGCTTCTGCATTTTGATTCGCAAAGGAGGAAAAATGTAAATGTTTATAGGCCACATCAACCACTTACCATCAGGTGAACTCTGTGCTCGTTTGTCACCCTATCCTATAAAAAAATGACTTCTTACTGGAAACGAGGTATTCCGTCTTAGTCTTTTGGGTGACAACTGCAATTTGATTCTTAATCGAGGATAGATGTCTATGAGCCACGGCATCCATTTACCATCAGGTTAAACGATAGATTTTGAGACACTTTGTGCCAATAATGCCAAAATTGAAGCGTACTCGGCCACCACCTACACCCAAAAATCCAGAGTATTCGGTGTATATACAATACACAAAAGTCAACAGTGATACATCAGTCTTCTATAGAAAAGGACCATGAGAACAACTATCAGAGTATGTCCAGTGGCCTAGCAGCTCTTAAAGTAGATATGAAAGCACAGTTTAAGAATTTATCTGAAACAGTGGAAAAGCAGTTCGAGGAGTTGAAAAAACAGCATGAAATCACTTTAGAAAGTCTCAAATTTCAGTTTGAGAAGAACGATAATATGCTTGTTAAAATGGAGGAGTATGAAAAGGAAAAATTAAAAGATAAAATTGAGTTCCTTGAGCGTAAAGCTAAAGCCACTGGACTTGAAATTCGCCATATCCCAAAAACAACAGACAAAACTTAGCGGTGAGCCACCGTAGAGTCTATATCACCTGAGGATGCCTCGTGTAGAGGCGAAACACGTGTCGTATTATCGTCAGTGGTGTGTCTTGCCTAGTGTAGTGGTGTTGGAAGTAGCGGTGCTGGGATTAGTGGTGACGGGGATAGTGCACGCAATTGAGGAAGGGCGGGAGGTGCTCTTCATACTAGGTAAGACACATCATTTTATTTTATAATGCGGATATTTACGAAGTAAATTTTTCTAAAAGCTTTTAGACAAAACTGAGTCAAAGGCAGATTTGAGTAAAATTATTTTAAATTTGGCGTAAAGTGTGAATGTCACTTTAAAAGAGTCTGATCCGAAGGACATCTACAGAACTAATCCCAACGAAGAAGTGACCACTAAACCCATTGTTGTTGAGTTGAGAAGTATCATGGCGAAGGAGCTAATTTGGTCAGCTCTTTTTTCAGCTGTCAGCTTGTTTGCAAAAACCTGAACAAAAATGTCTCTGAGTAGAATAAATTAAATACGTCATATATTAATCACTTATTGCCACGAACGTAGATGTCTACTTTAGTGTCAATCTCGTGCTCAATTATTTGTATATTTTTTACATTAAAAAACATTTTTCTGTGTCTTCTCAAGCATGCTTATATCGAAATTGAAACCCGCTGTCCCATTACTACCATTAGTATTTCTGGTGCTTAGTTTCTATGATTTGTCAAATACCCCATATTTTTTATTTATGATAATGACAAAAGCATAATATTTTTTATTATCGTTTGTAGATGATAATAATATATTCAATAAAACTTTTTGTAATAATAATTATATATGGCACATCAATGCAGTGAATAATTGTTTGGCTATAACGACGCGGGCCGTGACTTGGAATCCCACTCGGTACAAGTGTTTGTATAGTCTACAAAACATTGTTCCGGGTCTGGATTTGCCTAATTTATGTAATATAGGTACCAGTATTTTTTTTTGATTACCAATACTATTTTATTTTTGGGAAAAGTGTTAAGTACTGTGATTTATTTACATAGTTAAATTGCCAGGAGAAAAGCCACCAATAGCAGCAATATGCTCCTGTTTCGTATGGTGAATGTAGAGAACCGGAGAATCGTAGTCCTCGGGGGTGTAAACACATCTGCAATTTAACTTTTAATCGAGGATAAATTGGTAGATGTTTATGGGCCACATCATCCACTTACCATCAGGTGGACTGTGAGCTTGCTTTTCACCCTTATTCTATAAAAAGAAATATATTAAAAATTACTTATAATAAAAGTTGCTTTGTATTCTGTCCGTATGATGTCATCAGTTATTAAATTGTCACTGTAATAAGTAATTATTTGAGTTATCAAAGAGAAAGGAAGGGTAGGTAAGTTGTTAAAATATATCTGGTTACCGGGAGCAGAGGTCGCTCACATCTTCGAGTGATTTGTGGTAGTTTTAATTATTATCTATTGACTTTCACGTTGTTTTAAGGTTTTTGTATAAAGACATTTTTATGTAAGAATAATATTAGATCTATCGTAAGATCTTAAAGTGGTATTTCTTTAATCACAATAATTCCCTGCTTAAGAGGTCAGTCTAAAATGGATTAAAAAATGGGCGTTAAAAAAAACTCCTGCGCACACGCCGTGCGTTATGGTAGGTATAATTTTTAGTTTTGGTACGTGTTACAGGGACAGGGAAGTCTGCAGAATGTAAACACGCACAGGATTGCCCCCGCTGTTAGATTAGATTTGTTAGACTAAAAATCCTCGCCAAAAAACACCGATTCCTACCAAGGATGATCTATTGAAATAAAAAAAAAACCTAACTTCAATAGAGAAGATAGCTGGGTGCTACCATCTGTTTGGGATCCTATTATTAATGAAATTAAATCCCAACCCTAGCCTCAATTTGCGTAAATCAAACCAAAAATTTATAATATAATTGGTAGAATCAGGCGTTACTTTGCGGAAATCCATTATATAAAAACTTTTTTATAGACTTAGCGGTTAGCCACCACGTGTCGTATTATCGTCAGTGGTGTGTCCTGCTTAGTGTAGTGGTGTTGGGAGTAGCGGTGCTGGGATTAGTGGTGACGGGGATAGTGCACGCAATTGAAGGAGGGCGGGAGGTGCTCTTCATACTAGGTAAGACACATCATTTTATTTTATAACGCGGATATTTGCGAAGTAAATTTTCCTAAAAGTTTTTTTTTTATTTATAATTTTAAACTTAAGGTGACTGTGATTAACTATTGCATTGGGATGCCGAACACGTCAGTCTTCCCCGTGACCATGGGCGTTTTCGAGTAAAATAAAAATATAAGCAATAGAATCCTAATATATAAAAAGTGAGGTGAGCTAAAAGTAGGGAAATTTGGAATAGGGTAACGGAACCCAAGGGGCCAGTAGCTGGCCGACTTCATGGAGAAAGACGGACTCTTTATGATGAACTCTTTCTTCCAGAAGCGGCCCCACAGGAAGTGCACCTGGTTGAGCCCCGACGGTTCCACTAAAATGAGATTGACTTCATTATGACGATCAGACGACAACTTTGTGATTGTGATGTCTCCGTGATTGCGAGGGTGAAAACTGGTACCGATCACCGAATGGTTAGAGGCTCACTGAACCTAAACGTTAAGTTGGAGAGGTCTCGTCTAATGAAGTCAACGCTCCGTCCCCCTCGTGCTCTGTTTCAAAGTTCCGAAACCTTTCAGCTCGAGTTACAAAACCGTTTTCAGTGCCTAGAAGACTGCAATGAAGTGGACGATATGAATGACAAGCTCGTGGGAACTGTCCATGCGGTCGGAGCTAAGTTCTGCAAGACCCGCCGCAGAAGAACACAAAAACTCTCCGATAACACTCTCAATCTCATGTTAGACGGGAGATGAAGCTACATTCTTCAATAGATTTGACAGCATACAGGCAACTGAACAAACAGATCTCCAAATGCATGCGGCGGGACTTACGCAACTTCAATACAGCTTATATTGAAGAAGCGATCGAGCGGAACCAAGGCTCCAAAGTCTTTACCAGAGATCGGTCTGCCAGAAAGAGCCAACTGTCAAAGCTGAAGACCGAATGTGGCAGCATCGTTTCCGGGGCACCTGTGATTTTGAGAGGTTCTATGGGCAGCTGTACACGTCATCGTTGGAGCCACACGCAAGTGTGAGTAACGATCCAAGAGCGAGTTTTATCCGACACTATTCCGAAGATATCCCGGACGTCAAAAAGAAAGGTGACAACGCTCTCTTGAAGAACTACAGACCGATTTCCCTTCTGAGCCGCGTCTACGTGCTGTTTTCGAGAGTCATTACGAATCGTCTCGCGCGCAGATTTGACGACTTCCAGCCTCCCGAACAAGCCGGTTTCCGAAAGGGCTTTAGCACCATAGACCACATACATACCCTTCGGCAAATTGTACAGAAGTCCGAGGAGTACAATTTGCCACTATGTCTGGCGTATGTGGACTATGAGAAAGCCTTTGATTCCGTCGAAATTTGGGCGGTGCTGCAGTCGCTTCAGCGGTGCCAAGTTGACTGTTGGAATATCGAAGTGCTGAAGTGTTTGTACAGTAGAGCTACGATGGCTATCTGAGTACAGAACCAGAGTACGAACCCTATCCAATTGCAGAGAGGTGTGAGACAGGGTGATGTTATATCCCGCTGCATTGGAAGGCGTTTTCAAGCTTCTGGACTGGAAAGGATACGGTATTAACATCAATGGCGAGTACATCACTCACCTTCGATTTGCTGACGATATAGTCCTTATGGCAGAATCGCTGGAGGACGTAAGCACCATGCTCAATGATGTCAATAGTGTCTCCCAACGAATAGGTCTTAGGATGAACATGGACAAAACAAAGATCATGTTTAATGTCCATGCCATGCCACACCTATGCCGGTAGTTGTTGGGAGCACTAAGCTCGAAGTTGTTGATGAATATGTTTACCTGGAACAAATAGTCCGACTAGGTTCTAACTTTCGAAGACCA